TTTTTTGGAGGTACAGTAGATTTAGTACAATTCAGAAAGTATATTTTGACAGAATAAGAACATACGTCATTAAATCTATCATTAAATCTACTACCAAGATCTACCCAGAGATTTGGCTCATAGCCATATGAATCAAACGCTAACAGCCATGGATCTTGGATGTGCCCAACATCAACCAAGGCCCCTCGGTTTTATCAGTCGCCAGGTTGAGGCCTGTGGGGTAAGGCCCGTGGTTTTGATCTCCAAAAGGAAAAGTTCGTCTCCACTATTCTGGGAAAATGATGGCAACTCAGAAACAAGCGCAAAGTGTTTCGGACGCTTCCCCTTTACTAAGCCTCATCTAGACCATGATGACAGCGACCTCTCGCGGGGACGTTACTTGTTTTGACCAGGAAAAAGCATCATCTCCTCCAGGGATGACCCTGAACCAACCAAACTAATTCCCATCTCATCAAAAACTAGTTGGTTTATGGGTTGGTTAAGAACCGATTTCCAGTTCATGGATCAAGGTAATACATTGGACAGTAACACACTAGAATAATCGACAGGGTTGACCAGCCACTGCTCGATGGATTCTCCACTTGAGTATCTCATTGTATCACCCTTTTTTGCTGGTTAAATTCCGATTTCAGTTGGTGAAGTGGGAAAAAATCGTCACTCCGACGGAGAGGGGCTCGCTCGTAGTTTGAGGTGCAGACAACGGGTTGACGTTTGAACCCCTTGGCAGGTTGATGATTCAGAATCGCTACACAGTTCATGAATTCGAATTATGTATACACCCTGAGGCCTCCTGGTAATCAGCTCGATGGCTTGCTGGACAATTCTCCAGCTTGATGAGTTTGCCACTTAGAAAGCTCCGTTTTCAGAGATTTCCCAGCCATGTTTGATGACACCGGAGGGACTTCCATGTTTTATGTTGATTTAATCTCACTACCAATACATGTCGAGGAAGATCATTGTTAGTGTCAGGCAAATGACTACGAATACTACTTCAATACTACTAATACATGTCAAGGAATATTACTATTTGCATCAGGTAAATAACTATTAATACTACTTTGATACTACCAGTACATGTTGAGGAATATCATGATTAGCGTCAGGCAAATAACCACCAATACTACTTTACCAGCACATGTTGAGTAATTTCATTGCTAGTCTCAGGTTCAAAAAAAGATTGAGAAGTTAATACTACTCAGACATGTTGAAGAATATCATGTTTAAAGTCCGGTAGATAACTACTAATAGATACTAATACTATCTAATATTGCTTAATAGTTAGTTAGTACTTTTAACTCGGTGTACCTCGGGGATTTCAGAATGGGTGATCCATGAGAAATGTCGCCTCATTTTAGATCCCCTGGAGATCCCTGGATATAATCATACATACACACAGGCATATATCTATCCATGCAGCTATTTACATATCTATGCATATATAAACTATAGTATATATAGTATAATATGTATAACAAAAGATAGATAGATAGATAGATAGACAGATAGATAGATAGATAGATATATTATTATTATTGTTATTATTATTATATAAAATTATATATATATAACAATATATCATCAAATATATAATTATATATAATTATATAATAATATATAATAATATATAAAATAATAATATATATTATTATCATATATAATAATATATATAATAATATTATAATATATAAAATACTATATATATAATAATATATCATAATATATAATAATATATAATAATATATAATAATATATAATAATATATTAAAATATATATTAATAATATATATATAATGATAATAATATATAAGTATATAATAATATATAAGTATATAATAATATATAAGTATATAATAATATGTTTATAATAGATATTATTATAGTATATATATATACAATATATATTATTATAGTATATATATAATAGCTAAATACTCATACATATATATAGGGGATATGTAAGTACACATTTATATATAGTTGCATATACACGTGTATATATGTATTTGTGGAGATAATATATATATGTATATATATATATATATATACATTTATGATTTGTACATATGTATGTTAATACATACATATATATATATATGTGGATATACATGTGGGTATATATATACATATATGGATATACATGTATATGTAATTAATTATACTTTATATATATGACATATATATATATGTATATATGGCTCAAGTTGACGTCAGTTACATCAACTACCCAGCTCACAAGTTGGTTTCCCAGAACCACAGCCGAACCATCAACAGGATATTCCAGGTTCAGTCACAGCGCGGCGCCGGCGTTTGCCGGAGAAATCGCCGGAGAAAATCATCTCTCTTTAAACTTGCAGAACGTCCTGACAGGGAAGACTAGGTCCATGTCAAATACAAAAAAAAAAGATAAGAATCATATTTAAATGGATCAATTGGGATTATTTTACATGCGAAATCTTTTTTTACCAATAGCTAAATCATGCTAAATCTTCAGTGATTTTAGTCAGATTTCCCCAGGTCCATGGCATCACCATTAAAAAACCCTTGGTTCCAAGAGGCTTTCACCCCCCCAGTCACAAAAAAATTGTCATGTGGTTAAAGCAATGATAAACAATCCCCAGTCATCACCATAAAATTATGGGTGGTAATGTCATCCCTGGATTAATAAACCCCTAATTAGGCTGTTTAATTGGGAGGGTACCATTTAAGTCTCAAATAGTGACTATTGCAGGAGAGTAACCCCCCCAATGCATAAACCATGGTTTATTAATCCGGGGTTGACATTATGTCACTATCATTCCCAGTCGCTGGTGCAAATGGCATTGATTTTCCCAAAGGGTCCTGCTTTGTCGAGAAGAGCGTGATGCGTTTGGACAAGTCGGAGACCTATTTTTTGCAGCAATCGTTGTGGAATTCAATCATTTGAAGCAGCAAAAAAAAAGAGGAAAAGTTGATATTGGACATTGAACATCAAACATAGAAAAAATGATTTAACCAACACAAATAGGGAACCAATTCGGAATATGTTGCAAATGGTTCTATTGGCCATAACCAATCATCATACGGGTGTGTCTAAGATGTGTCTGAAAATATGGATTTACCCCCAGCTTGCCGTTTAATGAGAATTATGATGATAAACTATGGAATTGGGTGTGTGTTTACAAACTTATATTAGGTATACTACGTTGTTTATACCCAATCATTATATTGCAAAGGCGGCTTGGAATTATACCAGTAACAATTCTTCCAGATCATTGGATACGCCCGATGAGGACATCATGGCGGTTGGGCCATAACTGGCTGTTCGACAGCATGATGCTTTCTGTTGGTGAAATAACCTTGTGACCGAAAGTGACTCTGGCACTGTTTCAAGTGGACGTTGCGATTCTTGGGGATTGTCAGATTGTCAATCTAAACATTTTCTAAGGTTGGTACTCCACAGTAACTTCAGTCAGGGTAACCAGAATTCTTGGTGATGCTGGTGGTTCAAAAATCAAGACCCTGGGACTAGGCCCAGAGAAAGTACGAAAATGTCTCTGCTTTGTTTGCACTCACCCACAAGTTCTCCATCTTATTTCCTCTTATATATATATACATATATATATATATGTTTGATATGTGATTTGATTTTATGAAGTGATTCAATGGGGGTTAAACAAATCGCTGAAGATATATATATATATGATGATGATATCAGTTGGATTGATTTATCAAATCCATGGCCAGTCTTACATAAGCTGACTTGTTTTTTTAGCTGGTTATGTTCTGTTGCATAAAGCCCAATTCTGCTGGATAAATCCACGTATTTTTGCTTTTTCTCCAACGGTTGAACGATGCCCAATTTGATGTTTTTCCAGGACTTTCCATTACCAGATCCAAGACTTGTGCTGTCGAGCCACATTGTGCTTCAACTGTCTGATCATGCTGCGCGTCCTGAGATCGTTGGGGTAGTTTACACGATCTACAAGTGACGATCACTCTACATTGCCCACTTATCACCAGGGTTAGCAACAAGTATACTTATAATATCTTATAATATATTCTTATCATACCTACAATATCTTATAGCCCATGGCTACTCCACCAACCCCCCAAAGTAGATGGTTAATAAGCCCCCCAATTTATTATATTTCGGTGTTGGGCCTCCAAGTAGGCCGCTTGGTGGTTACGAGGTGCTTACTTTTATATAAACAAAAAACTGGAGCTCGAAGTTGGAAAACGCAGAGTTTTGGGGACGTTAACCTACAAAACAAGGACCAACGAACACGACTTTACGTCACAACTTGAAGCAAAACAACGGAATAATGAGGAGTACATTATTGACAATTCTGCTTCACCCACAACAAAGAATGTGGTTTTACCAAGATCATGTTTAGCCAAAACAACCACCATGGCTTCTGAATCCTTGAATGACCCAGCATGATCGGCTCGACATGTGCGACCCGCAACCGTTGCTTTGGGTCCAAGTTGTAGACACGCACATTGAAAGTGTGATATACTGTGATGGCTGTTTCAACATGTTTCAACCCGGCCCAAACCATGCAATTATTCGGATCATCAACAGTGAGATCTTCCAAGATTCGGTCGATGATAAATCCAACATTGAAACCACCAACCAAAACCATCATTGGTTATATACCCACTATGTATATATATATACATCCCCATATTAGATGCTTGAATCATCTTGAAATCACCAAAAAATCTTTGTTACCTAGTCATACATTGCTTCTAAATCACCATCCTTCTGCAGTTTTGCTGGTTAAATCCCGGCAGTGGATAGAACGGTCAACTGCAATGGCGAAGAAATCCCGCAACTGCACTTTTTTTGGGGGGAACATGATGGAATAAACCAGTCATTTATGGGATACCCTCTGGTAAACGTTTACATAACTATGGAAAATCACCATGTTTAATGGGAAAACTCACTATATATGGCCATGTTCAATAGCTTTTTGTTAGTTTACCAGAGGGTAAATGTGGTTTTCTTCCCAGCCACATTTTCAGAGTTGCCATCTCGAATCGCTGCCAAGATGCACTTTGTTCTCATAGCTCCTCAGCCCACGGGAGTCTCAGCATGTCAGTTCTATTTCTACTTGGATGTGCCCCCACTGAGGATTCGTGGTTTATAACATGTTATAACCCATAATATGTATAACATTGTATAACCTATACAATTCCATATCTAGCCAATTATAGCCATGTATAATAGCCCATATCTTAGAAAATCCTATATAATATATAGGTGGGGACATCCCATATCACAGGGGGTACAACTCATTTACTAAGTGGGGCCCGCACCCCCAAGTATGGAGGATGGACCAACCAAAACCTTCTTATGCTTTTGCCCAAGTGTCATGCGCGCCAAGTGTAGGCTTTTGGCAGTGCCAATCAAATTCATGCATCCCTTCACGAATTCATCACGCTCCACCAAGCCATTTGCATCCTGAGCCACGACCAAGGCTGGAGGAGATACGATAGAAATGGCCTGGGGTGAAATAAGAGAGCATGGTAACAATATAGAACACCTATAAAGAGAATACTCCCAATTTCTAGGACGTAAATACAAGATAGTACAAGTATATTCAAATGAAGTAAACTCTAGTTGAAGAAATTTGGATTTCAGCATCAATGTACAACATAGAATAGCACTATATAGGTACTTGGTAGCTCATCCCATTTCAAACATAGCCACAATGCCATAGATCCCTACTCCTGTCCAAACCGACCCTTATCCACTGAGTATTCTGGATTTCAGGAAAAAAAGAAGGGAATATATGGACAATGCCATGAATCCAATTAAACCAATTATAGTAGAACCACGAAAGTGGGTTAGTTCATGTTAGTTCACCCCAGTGAAATAACTGGACATTTTATTATATATATATATATTAATTATATATATAATATAATGAACTGCAGCGAACCAACCTACGGATCCGACTCCTGGACTACAACTGTCAGCAGCAACCTACTCCTGCGGCCTTGCTGAAATAAAGGGCACAATTTCACTGATCAGATCTCTTTGTTCAACGAAACATGCAGTTGTTCCCGCAAGTTTCACCCCAAAGCAATGGGGATGGGCTAAGCCAGTGGGCTACCAATGGACCCGCGTTTAACGCACGGCGCCAGTCAAAGTTGCCATGAAATAACACAAGGGCCAAAAACTGACAGAAACTGTACAAGTATGTGCAAGTACTCTCTCATAGCCCAATATGGCACACAAAAAAAAAACATGCAAAACTATGGATAGTAGCTACTGTATCATACTCGATACCCACGGGATGGTGCCCCGCAGTTGTGTTTCTTGGTGAATAACCTCCATAAACCCTATAGTTCAACTGGAGTTTGAAACGGACTTAGCGAACGAACTGGGGCACCACCCTTTAGTACATTAATGTCAACCCTGGATTAATAAACCCCTAGACTGTTTAATTGGGAGGGTAACGTTGAAGTATTAGATTATATTAGATTACGACTATTGGAGGAGTACCCCCCCCCAAAAAAAAATAGACCATGGTTTATTAATCCGCAGTTGACATTATCAGACTGGTTGGTGGTTTCAACCCCTCTGAAAAATATTAGTCAGTTGGGATTATTATTCCCACTATATGGATAAATAAAATTCATGTTCCAAACCACCAACCAGCAGATATCAGACTTTATCCGCTTGGTGCTTTCAATGACTGAAGATCTTCGTCAGTTGGGATCACCCAGATATGTTTATGCTTGAAGCAAAGAATTTGGCCACCAATCAGTAGCACCAGTTACGTTTTCTTTTTTTACCCACAAAAGACCCATATGATGTTCCATTCATTTTTTGCTTGTTTTGCCCAAGTCACCATTTTGATGGGACCTCCATTTGTCCAGAGTTTTTTAAACAAAACCACTAGCATGTCCCCAGAAGCATCCCATAAATTGATATAAATTGCATAAATTGCTGAGAAAATCCCAAGTGGTTGCAATCTCAGTGAAATTCTTATCCCATTGTTCTACCCCAATGTTCCACTTCGACCACCAAGACGCTGCATCCAACAATTTGAAGAGGACACCTACTTCACCCCCGTCAATGCCTCAGCCGTGACTGAAATTGCTGTGACTGAACATGAACATGTGGTTGAAACAATGTCATAAACCACCCATGACTGGGAATGGTTTATACTTTTATACCACCTATAAAAATGGCTATTTGTTCCTGGGGGATGGTGCGTTTATGGCATTGTTTTACCCACATTCACTACCCATCCAAGGTCATCCAAGGTGGGGAACCAATGGATCTGGGGATAGCGCACCAATGTGCCATGAACGGCGAAAAATGGACCGGATCTACATTCAGATATGGAGGAAAACCATACATGGAGAAATGCATCTACATATACATGTATATATATACATATTTATATATATATATATTTAAAAAGAAAAAAAAACATACTAGATGAGTGAAGCGTATCTTTGTTAGAAATACAACGGTTGGTTACGAGTGGTTCCACCCAATTTCTATTGGCTAGTGCAACCCAGTATACTCAACCAATAATAATCAACCAAACCAAATCTCGGAAACTGTCAGCAATGGGGTCGAAAAGATTCCTGTTTTTTGTAACGACACAGACCTGTCGGGAGGGATACCGATAATTTTCAGGTCATCCATATACTGCATATACACTGCATAATATGTACATGTATATATATATATTATCATATGCCCATCAAGTCCCGAAACTCAGTTTCCGGCAAGTCCCCATCATCCATCAATAGCATTCAATAGCTATCGTATCATCATGACTGGGTCTGTCTCAGATGGGGAAAATGATAATTAACCATCGAATCTTGGAGTACAACCCCCGAAAACATCGAATTTTGTGTGTTTCCAGGATGGTAGTTCGATGGTTGTTTTGCCATACTTTCCAGGTGTCCAACTTTTCTATACACTGGGGGGTTACTATATCCTATTCTCAGGCTCGTATTCCCAAATGTTAAGGAAGTTCTTGACAACGTGAACATCTGCAAAAGTGTCTCAGATCTGCTGAGTCTTGCGGCTCTGTTCAGTAGGGTCCGATACGACCTGTCAGAAAGTAGTTGTTTTGACCTTTTCAAACTGACCCCAATACTGAAAGCTTCCACTTTTAGATATAACAAGTCTATATACACATATACTGGTTAGGTGCTTTTAGTAGATATATGGTTATATACACATCATTTTTCAACCTGACCAAGATACACACAGTAAATTACTATTTCTGTCACATCTCACTGAATCCATCCACGACACCAGGCGTTTCGGTATCCCCGGATACCAGGCTGCGGCCAAGGATCCAAGTTCCTGAAGGAAAGCCCTGAATCTGGGGATGGTCATGGCCTCAACACATCGGACACTACCGACTGGTGAATGGCTTGGCGCCTGCCGAATGATCCAATCACATGTCTTGACAAATGACCCACAGCGACTCTTTGCCATATAAAAACCTATACACACACATTATATCAAATTACTATGGCAAACAAGTATATATATATAGGTATAATATATAATATACATATTTATTAATATATGATCTCATATATAATTGTATATATATATATATGCACAGTACATAATACCTAGACCCTCGACGTTCTACCATGAGGATGGCCATTGGCCTCCCCCAACATGGAAACAGCTGCATGGCCATTGGTAACCCATTGTGCTATACGCATCTTTTGTTTCATTAACATCTCAATTTTGGTTGAATCGCAAAACGTCTCGGTCAATCTGAATTACTGACAGTCTGCAATATCTAATGTCATGATATGTCATAGAATGATGATGGACATATGTATATATATATATATCTATCTACTATACCCCATATTACAATTCATATCATACTTGTGATACTTGTGATGTCTTTATTTATTTTCTGACTACCACAGAAAATGAAACCCAGTCGGACTGGAGTTTTTTTACTGACGTTCCCCTTGGGATGGTCGCTTCTGGCGATGGTTATTTCTATAACATGTATGAACCACTAGAACATATTACAAATCATGTGTATATATATATTATATATATATTATATATATAATCATATATATATAATGTATGTATACACTATACATAGATAGTTTTTAATAGATGAAGAAATTTTTAAGATTCGATCCAATTTGAAAACCAACAATGCTAGTAACCAGTAACCAGTATTAAACCATGATATTCCCATGTCAAAAGCCTCCGAAACTTCGATGTTCGAAACCCAGCGGCCGTTCTCAGCTGCTCGATGCTCACTTCGTGATGCTCTCCGCCGCTGATCTCGGTGAAGAGGGAGCGAAGGTCCTGGCGAGCCAGGAAACCATGTGGAAACCATAGGAAAACATGCGAAAGCCATAGGAAAACATAGGAAAACCATAGGAAAACCATAGGAAAACCATAGGAAACCATAGGAAAACCACAGGAAAACATAGGAAAGCCATAGGAAAACCATAGGAAAACCACAGGAAAACCATAGGAAAGCACAGGAAAACATAGGAAAAGCATAGGAAAACATAGAAAAACATAGGAAAACCATAGGAAAACCATGGGAGAACCATAGAAAAACAATAGGAAATTTGTGATTTAACATGATTGAAATCAAATGGGAATTGAATGTGATGATTTAATGATTTATAGCTCATCTACATGATAGCTAATCTGGTGCAAATCTTCCAACCAACAACAAATGCATATCGTGGGATTTGAGCAAGAATAGTATGAGGTATTTACATAACGAATAATCATCAGTGAGTGACGAATTAATATCAGTTATTGGATAACCTACTTGATCAAGCGACTTAGTAAGCAGATATTAATTACAGTAACCAGTTACTAAGTGGGATGATTGGGATGATTCATCTTGATTCGTAAAACAGTGGTGGTTTGCTTGCGTCTGAGAATAGATCAAGGCCCCCCACGGCTGCACTGTTGAAATTCCAATTCCAAAAAGAAACATGATGATTTACCAAGAGATTCACTGGTACCCTAGTTTCACATGTTTCACATGTTTCACATAAAGCCGTGCAAGCGTTGTGGGAATTGAACATGTTTTAGCAGGTTTTGCTTGGAAATCTGACTGAACCAACCACCGGATTTGGCTCAACTGGATATGGTGGGATGACATAGCCGGCATCCTGGAGCGCTTACCTGCAAGAAAAGCTTATCCGGAATGGTTTTTCATATTGTTGCCCTATAAACTAGTCCAAATTCTCCATCGATGTTCGAAAGAACATGTGTAAAAGACCATCAAGTAGCGCCAGAATTATGTGTGTGGGAAATTTCTGATGCGAGACGGTGTCGGTTTGTTGGCGTGTCTGTCCGTTGTTGGCCATTCACTCACTTATTCTTTGGCCATTTCAGCCATTCAATCAGCAAAACATAGCAAATTTCTATCTTTCAGTCATTCAGTCATTCTAATGTGGTTAAAACAATAATAAACCATCCCCCAGTCATCACCATTTTTATAGGTGGTATGTTTACCATTCCCAGTCATGGGTAGTTTATGACATTGTTTTAACCACATTACCGCTGATGAGTCAGCAAACCCTAGACGCCTCCCTAGCCGAAGCCACTCCCTATGGATCCAGCACCAGCTGGACCGTCCTCCACTTGGGCGTTATACTTTTGCAACCTAGAGCAGCTCTCTGCAATGAATCTGAACAGGAACATGTTTTTTTGGCAGCCCCAATAAAGAAAAACAAGGGACATATCAATGTACCCTCTGGTAAACTAACATAACCATGGAAAATCACCATTTTTTATGGGTAAGTCCACTATAAATTGCCATTTTCAATAGCTTGCCATAGGGTAGTGGTAACTTGAACATGTTCTATATAGATGCATACATTCGTGGTTCTCAGTTGACTACTCTCCCAAGAATCTCAAGATATCTCAATTTGCATTGTAAAATCACCCTGTTCAAAAGGTTGCTACTAATCAAGTACTCAGCCCTTGTTGCAGTAGCAGAAAGTTTAACCTGGGTTTGTCTGAAAATAGCGCGCCCCAAAATCAACTGATGTATCATGACTTTCTTAATTAACACGGTAATAACTTGATGGCCCATCATTTCCAGACAAACTGGGAAAGTGATAGTTTTTCCGGTTTCCCCTATTGTGGTTGGTCCTTGTTGTAGTCTAACCCTCTTAAATCACGTTGTGAAAAAAATCACCAGCAATCCCAGGACAAGTCAATGAATCATAAATTCATCCAGCAATCCAGCGCAATGGATCATTCCCGATGCGGCTATAGTTTGTTGATTTTCCGAACAAAAACCTCCATGGTGAGTGGGTTTCCCACGATGGGCCTATTGGCAAACCGTCGACAAGGCGCTGCTTCATCACTGCAAGATCTTTGTCAGCAGAAGTGGTTTCCATAGCCTCCACAGGTCGAAGTACTTGGACACTGGCTGAAATGCTGGATCTTGTCCAGGTTTCCATGTAGGTTTCCCCAGGTTTACATTTGAGAAATTACAAATCATCATAAATCATCGAAGTGAATGGAAACCAAAAACAGGTCTCTAAATGGGAAAAACATCGAACTAAATGCTCGATTCTTGTCAAGTCATATTTTGAATCTTAATCATATCTTCTTGTTGAAGGTGGTACCTGCAAATATCACAAATATCCAGAATCTCAACATGCATTCCGCTGGCAAGTTCAATGCAAAATCATCTTCCAAGATCTTCCAAGGACACATTTCTGAAAAATCCCCCCCACCTGTTAGTTATGGATCTTCCAAAGACACTTACAGAATCTTCAAAAATGCTGGCTTTCCATGACTGTTAGTCATTACCAGAGGCTCCTGAGCAATAAAAAACCGTCCCCAGACGACCAAACTGGGTCATTTTTGGGGTAGTTTTGTAGGTAAATAGTCCAGCACCATGGTTCGCATCTGGGAATTCTATATTCAGCTCCCATACAATCAACCAATAAATCCCCATGACAGTATGCCTATTTTATCCTATTTTGGATTATCGCTTCACGTCCAGAGTTCTCCCAAAAGGCCCTTCTTTGGGCGGCACCGTCGTGACGAAAACACCCGTAATTACGTTGACGATTGCGAAATACCTCCGCGACGCCGCACGGTGTAATGAAAGGGGTTGGGTATATCCAGTATACCCAAAAGAACTGATGGTTTGATCTTTGAAAACTTGCTTTGCTGATGGTGTTGGTTTCCACCATTTTACAAAATATGCAAATCCGATAAATATTCAACCGCAAAACATAAGCCTCGCAACCTTCAAAGGCCTGATCTAACCAGACAAAAACCATGCAAAAACGATATCTAAAAACCTCAAGGACCAAGAACAGTTTGGCACATCAAATATATGCATGCTAAAATACTGCTGGGCAAAAACAGAACTCTCCTCCGTTCGTCAAAGAAAGCATACCCTCCGGCAATATATCAGTTTGCTGTGGAAAATTAGTCTATTTTGTTCTATGTTTTAGCTGTTATTATGGTGGCAAACTGTTCAATGACCAGAGGGTAACTAAATCCCATAAATTCCACTAAACCATCATGGTTCGTTGTATCCGCTCTACATACATCCCTCCTAGAAATTACATCTGCGGTAATCAAACCTAGCACTTGAAAGTCACCCAGTTATAGATGATTTTCCCGGATTTTCCAGCTAGCCACGGTTGATGACACCGGAATTCTTAGTCCATTTATATCCCAATCATGATCCATGTTTTTCCCAGTGCTATTCCTATATATATATATACATACGTATCATACCTATAAATCGCTATCGTTGTTGGTTAAGCCACCAGAGTTTTTACTTGCCGCCAAGAGTCGTAATCGTCATATACCTCGGCTCCAAGCAAGAAGCGCACTCAAAGGTACAAGGTGGTTCCCCCAGTTGATAGATTTGATAGGAAAAACGGTATAAAACATGCTTGAAACAGGAGGGATATCCAACAAACATGGGAAGTTATAGCCAATTTTTGATAATTAGCTAAGATCGTTGAAATAAGTGAATGGATTATGATTGAATATGGATTGTGGTAGATATAGTGACAGGCTTCATGGGGTAAACATTTGTGCAGATCATGGATTTTGTAGACCATCTTCCCAAATATTGTAAGGTTCAGATCTCTTCGGAGCCGCTCAACACATAGACACACCATTGTGGGGGATCCGAATGGCGACCAGGGAGCTGGGACTTGGTAACAGAGGGATGGGGATGAAAGAAACTTCACGGGGGCCCCTTTTGTACTAGGTGGTGCCCCCGTTCGATAGCGTTCAGTTGGTGCGTTTACAACTCTAATTTCACTATGGTTTTATGGGCAAATAAACCAATTTATAACTGGGGGGGTTGGTCACCTTGTACTCTAGGAAGCACCTGTTATAACTTTGACAAAATGGAATACGCAATCTACGGAATCGTTCGGTAAAGAAACATGTCTCCCAGCGCCTGACCAAGCTGCCACCTCCAGGAATATCTCATGCAAAATGCCACAATCCCCAATAAGATAGAACGGTTCTCACTATCGTTTGGTGCTAGTAGCATACAGCTCACCACTCCCTAACCACTGGACAGCTAAAATCATACGAAACAAATCTAACATATGGAGGTTTCCTGAAAATGGGGATACCCAAGAATGGATGGTTTATAAGTTCTGCAAGGGAAAATCCCATTAAACTGGATGATTTGGGGGTACCCCCATTAAAATGGAAACCTCCATATAGTTTACCAATATTAACACATAAAAATACACCCTGTATTTTTTTGGGGGGGATCCTCCACCGCCTTGGGTTGAGAGGCCAACTGGATGACTCGGCCAAGGATCATCACCAAACAAAGAACGGCCAAAATGGAGATATCTTTCCTGCAACGTGCGGGGGACACCACATTCGGGATCGGTTTTTGGGTCTTTGAGCAAGGTTTTATGGGAAATCTATATTTGCAGCATCAAACGTGTCCTCAAACATGGCGATTTCGCTGGGAAAATCAGAGGAAACTATAACTGGGGGATCCTGCAAGCCATGGAGCTGATTACCATCTAATCCAACAAATGGGGATCTCTTAAAATAAGGGATCCCCAAGTCGCCATAGCTTTCACTACTAAAATATGCACTAAAATGGTCATCCATGACTGGGATGATTTGGGATTACCCCCATGACTTAGGAAACCATGACACATGAACTTCAAACTTGACATTGGGTGGTGACATTCTGGACCAATTTCTGCCAAAATCATCCCAAGACGATCATCCCCCGTTGACTGCGACTGCGACTACCCCGCAGCAGGGGCCATGTTTCGACCTGCCCTTGGGGTACCCAAACAATCTTCCAGAGCACCCACGCTTCGAATTCCCAGTTGGGTCTGGGTTATAAAGCGTGATACATCCTGATACCCTTCTGTTCACATCAGAATATAACTATAGGCTATAGGATCTGTTTTTTTCTTGATTTTCATCCCCAATTGACCAATTGATGAAACATGATGAAACGTTATCACCAGCGTGCCCAGCTTCCCCATCTCTGTCAGGGACGAGTTGCAGAGGCCTCATCGAGTCCTGCCAATCCATGCCTCCGGTGATCGCCATGAATAGGGTCCTCAGTGAACCCAACAAGCGAAACCGTCGTGGAAAAAGAGGTTTCTTGGAGATGTGAACCATCAATATCATCCATGGGGATGGGAAAGGATGGGGATAAAATTTCCCGGCAAGGGACCCCAAACAGTGTGGGGGGAGTACAAGGATAATGTAATATACGGTAACTACATTTGAATATACGGACTTTAAAATATACGAACAGGTATTTTAGACTACCTCCGGGAAGGTTTTCCTTGGCCCGCCCGGCCATTCAAACATACGGAATCCAATTCATTTAAACATACGGTAACTACATTTAAATATACGAACTTGTATTTCATACTACCTGGGGGGGGCCTCGCGGTCTGGCCCGACCTCCCCATATTTAAACGTCGTTACCCGTAATGTTAATGATGATGTTCATTAATGTTGATGATGTTGTTGATGATGGTGATGTTGGTAATGATTATGATGATGATGATGATGATGATGATGATGAGCATGGTGATGATGATGGTGATGACGATGTTGATGGTGATGATGATTGTCATGATGGTCATGATGGTCATGATGGTCATGATGGTCATGATGGTCATGATGGTCAAGATGATGATGATGATGATGATGAAGATGATTAGAGGAAGATGATGATGTTGATGTGGAGGAGGAAGAAGATGATGAGGTTGAGGGGGAGGATGTTGAGGAGGAAGACCGATCCCAAGACCGGGAGGCACACTGTGTGCGAGCCTGCGCAGGCGACATGCGCATGGACATTTCACAAAAGCCATTTTGTATGGAAATGTACAAGAAAAATGGCCGCGGACACCTCCGCGGCCAGAGTTTTGTGCGAGCCTGCGCAGTCGAAATGCGCATGAACATTTCACAAGAGCCATTTTGTACGGAAATTTACAGGGAAAATGCCGGACGCCCCGGATACCACCTCGTTTGAACACAGGGCCTTAACTGTTACCGTAAGAACCCCTCAGTCTTGCCACACTGTTTGGGGAAAACATGTGGATTGTCATGAAGAAGTGTGATCTAACATGCTAAAAAACGGGAAACGAGTAGACTACAAAACCACCAGAATTTTGGTTGAACACCCATAATTTCACATGCTGCCCTTTTCTATTGCAAGTTTAATATGGAAAAGGATCAACATGGATCAACAACTATTGAATTTTCTGGTGCCGTACCCAATTTCCAGAGAAATGAACATATGAACATATGATACGACAATGGTTTTCCTATAGTTGTTGATGCACGTTTTGTATACTTTAAAATGAATTGCAGGCCATGAATTGTTTGATTCTCCCCTGGAGAAATCAAGCATTTGTAGCCGCCATTGGTACTGAAACATGGCGCCATGCCATATACCCTCTGGTTATTTAACATAGCCATGGAAAATGGTCCATTTATAGTGGATTTACCCATTAATAGCATGGCATTGTGTTTTTCCAGTTCGTTATGTAAACGTTTACCAGACCGGGTAGATCAGACATGATCAGGTGATCTGACACCATGTCTTTCCATCGAAAAATGACTTTGTTAAAAGCCCGTTGAGTCAGGGATTTTCCAGCCATCTTTGACACCAGAAAAATCACCATATCGATTCCAGGCTCCTGCCTTAGATAATCCTGAAGTAGATCAATAAATTCATCACTAAAATGGAACATGTTCCTGAATGTTTCGATTGTCTTTTTTTCGGAAATTCTATCTAATTTTGATTCTGTGATATATTTGAATGAAACATATTCACATTTTAGTGACGATTGTTGGAAAATTCCAGGTTCTGTCTACTTCAGGAACCTTATATATATATACAACAGAGATTCTGTACTTGGTGGCTCATGCAAGCAATTGGTATTTCACCCCAGTTAATTCACTAGGGTAAGAAGAGTTAATTCAGTCATACTGGGGGTTATAACCCACTTACTAACAAGGATGAGCCACTAAGTATACTCACAATACATCACAAAAGATTCATTTATAAACCTGGGAAAGAGGAACCATAAAATACCATAAATCAACACTCAATAAATAAAGTACTCCCACATAATTAAAGTATATTCCCATCTGTTTCCATTCATATTCATTCTGGATCAAGTAGAAAAATGTCAGAATCTTTCACAAAGCGTCAACTTGGTGGCAAACTGCCCAGGAATTTTCGGATCTGATTCCTGGCTTGAACCAAACCCGTCCCATCCTCCCAGCTTTCCCAATACACCCTGAGGCTTTGCCACGGACACCATGGGCTAACTGAAAGTCGGTGATTTACCAACTGAAAAACCAGGAAAACATGGTGGTGTCCTGTAGCTATGTTAGATTGCCAGAGGTTAATATTTACGTAAACCGTATCTTAGAAAAATCTATCATGTGGTTGGGAAACTCTTGCTCCCTGCCTCCACAGTAAGGAATATCATAGTTCCCTCCCAACCACCAAAATAGTTATAGTTATTATTGCCGATTGGTTTTTTAGGACTTTACAAAAAGACATGGTTGTCATCAGTGAACTTACACCAGTTAAAGGCTAATCTGCTCCAGCAGAGGGCCCTGAAAAACCATGTTGTGTTTTCTGGAAAATGATTGTCTATAAATGGTATGCCGTTCGATAATCACACAGAGCAGAGGGAAATCCCCTAGATTTACCAGAGGGACCCTCAGCTGTCGTCCCACTAGTGATCATTCCCCAAGGGTGAATCCAATCCATTTTTTGATTAGAGTTGGCATGAGCTGTATATATTTATATATACATATATATATATATACGAAACACATATGTGCATATATATATATACAAAACACATATGTGTATATATATATATATTATGTGTATCCTATGCAATATCCTAAGTGATACTTAATACTTATCCCATTCAATCACTATCTTTAATGGCTTTAAGTCCAAGGTTTTGACCGCTAGTGGGAAAACCCACATGGCTCACAGCCAGAAAGACCTTCGTGCGGTACCCTCTGGTAATTTGTTACATAGCTATTGAAAATTGCCATAGAAATAGTTGATTTACCCATTCAAAAAATGGTGATGTTCCACAGTTATGTAAACGTTTACCAGGCAGGGTAATCGATGACCTGGAACGTCACCACGCCTTTTTGAAGAGGCGGAACCATTTTTCTGGTGAAGTCCCGCGGACCCGGATACACATTCCAATCAATTGGGATCATTGCAACCATTTTCAGGAAGGGAACCAACCAACTATATAGGGGGGTTCCATAGTCATGGGGGTACCCCTTTATCGCTGGATGGGGAAAATTTCCATGGGAAAATCCCCATCTAGAAATGGATGATTGCTTGGGGTAGCCCTATTTTATGAAACCCCCACATGGCACTCCACTTCAACTCAATCTTTCCACTCATTTCTTCAGAACCCCCGTCCCATGAGCGCTGACATGCGCCGAGGGGCGCGTACTCGTTGCTACACTTTGGAATGGAGTTGACGTCTTCCGTTAGCAGGACGGCCTGCCGATAGATGGCCGGATCAAAAACCATCCCCATTGAAAGATGGATTGGTTATTAATTAAATCGGTTTTATAATTTATTGTAAAAAAATGGTTTCTTATTGATTGATTAACTACTATATGTTTATATTTTTTAATTTATTTTATTAATTCATGGTTTCTCCCCCGGTGGCGGACAAAAAAAACACACGCAACGGGGGCACATTCCGCCTGGATGCGACATTCATCCGTGACCAGCTGAGTGAAGAGGACCCCAAACCTGCATCGCTACGCCGCTACGCTTGGGATTTTCCATCATGTATTGCATCCAGTTATTGGGAATCCCAAAACATGTATGGAAACCTCCAATTTTTTTAGACCCTGGGCCTGGGAGGTGAGTTTCTACCAAAACCAATGGGCTTGGAACTTCGGTTGGCTGATGATGTTTTTAGCGGAAAAACACCATCATTTTGGGGATGAGTTGGGTTCAGAAATGGAGATCATTTTAGTGTATAAATGATGATTGGTTGATAATAAGCCTATTATTGGAATATATCCCAATGATTATCCCAATTATATCCCATTGATGGTTTCTACCAATTATTTCTATACATGTAGTTCGGGGATACCATCGCAAAGTTGGGGATTATCGCAATCCAGAGGGGGAATCCCTTTCTCAACCAACCAGTTTTTCAGACTGCACAGGGTTTGAACACTGCGCAAGGCCCTAGCTGTTATTGGGATCTAATTGGGAAAATAATTGGGATCAACATCAATGTAATCAACATCAATTAATGAATATTATTATATATGGATAGTTGGGATTATAATTGTGTAATACGGATGTTAATTGGAACTATTGGGTCACTAGAAATGTTTATTGGTATATAATATAATTAGGATACTAGTGACTAGTGGAATCCACAAAGGGCTGCCGAAAAGTGTGAAGCCAGCATGCGAAAAACATGATATTTACTAATGATGTCCAAGTTTCCCACTTTCCCACCCCCAAACCAGGGATAATTGTTTTCAGTTTGCGAACTTGAAGCCAAGGGCCCATTGAGTTAAGGGATTTTCCGTGTTTCAACATGGTGGTTTTCCATTTAAAGGATGAATGCAGTTGCTTCCGTACATGGCTCTCATCAAATGCAGTTGTGAATGGCCGCGGTTTGTGTTCTGCCACGATGGACAAATAAACCACGATGGATTCTTCATGAATGGCATATTTCTCAATTCACTCGCAGAAAAACTCTATGGAGTCGACGGTTCTGACTGGAATATCTGGAATATAGTAATATTATTTTTTTTACATGGTTTAATAAGCCACTAGCGAAGCATTCAAAACACATCAGTAATCACAGAAATTAGAACATGCAAAAATGATGGTATACCCTCCTGAAATGGAGATGGATGGACATGAAACAAAAACATCAACGTTTCCGCATGGAAGCTCTTTCGGACACCACTTTTCGAAATTACATCTTGGCTTTCAGGGGAAGAAAATAGACGAAGATGGCAAAAGAAAATGAGATACAGTGACACAGCCAACAAAATGGAGAGAACACCAGCACGAATGGGATTATCATGGTTGTTCAAGTTCTATGAGTGCTGATTGTGATTTCAAATTGCTTTATAGATCACCCTGTTGGCAATCTAACCGACTAGTAGCAAGATAAATTCCCCCGCCATCAATATCTGTTGTGTTTTTATTCTCGTCTCTAGCTTTTTCAGGTAATCACACCTATGTAGAGTAATGTCAAAACAATAAGACAGAAAAAAAGGAAACAATTTACCACCGTCTTAGTCGGATTTTGTTTTCCCATCTTTTTCAGTATTGCGACATCCGAATCTTCCAGTCTCCACTCACTACACTTTGCTCAGAAAGGAACGAGTAGAAGAGCAATAGCAACAAGACCAGGGTCCACATCAGGGAGGCCATACTACCTGCAAAGCGACCAGCTCAACACAAATCATCTCTTTCTTGTGGTCATTAAAACAATACTGGTTGGTGGTTGCAACCCCTCTGAAAAATATTAGTCAGTTGGGATTACTATTCCCAATGCTTCAAACCACCAACCATATTAGATGGTCGTTTCAGGCTTCGAGCTATTTCACAAACCCTAATTTTTACATCGGCTCATCCCATTTTCAGCCGACAATCCAAATCAAAGCGGTCCTTTTAAATCGGATCCAAGGACCCATCAACTGACCAGTTTTGGCCACATGATAAGATTTCAAGATCCTTCTTGGTTTCATTAGTTCGGCGTCTATATTATCGAATATAATGTGGGTACAACAATCATAAACCATCCTCAATTTCACCATAAATCGGTATAGTTTTTTCATCATTCCCAGTCATGGATGGTTTATGGTATTGTCCCACAAAAAACTCGGAACTGTCACAGTCGTCGCAAAATCCCTTCGCAATTCACCATGTCGTCACATCCATGGCTTTCCCCCTGGAAATGATCACAAAACATTTCAAGGCGAACTTCCTGGAACCTACATGATTCTATTAATTACTTTACTGGAGGGTAGGTAAATATGCTAATCTATTTTAATATGTATGTGTATATACATATATATATATATATATGTATTAATCATGTAATATACACCGTGATTTATGTATATATCATTTACACTCAAAGAAAAAAGACGCGTGGGGATACATTCACCAAAAATCAGCTAGCCACCCCTCTGAAAAATGATGGACGAATCGGACCAGTTGGGATGATGATTCTTCCCAAGTGTTTCTGGAAAGTCATTCAAAATTCCATGGTTCCAAAGCACCAAGCAGCCATTGTATATCCCATTATGTCTCCATTAAATCCCATTGAATTACATTTTTTGGTGGCCTATCTCCACCAATCAAATCTCAAAAAAGAATCCAAGTACTTGATCCACCCGACTCGCCAATCGGATTTCCAGGCCACTCATGATGGACAGCACCAAAATTCTCAAGGGACTCACGTACCTTTGCTGACTTTTCTGCCGCAAAAAAAGAAACATGACCTAGCTTTCACTATCCAAAATGGCGGTTGAACTTTAACCCAAACAATTGGGTGTCAAATACATCGAACAAGGATATTTTATCAAGAGAAGGTAGGTGTATATATATCTATATATATAACATGATGGTTTGTAGGTAATGTATGGCATATTCTGGATGTGGCTCGAAACTGGGGTACCAGCTCACGGAATTGGTCAAGCCATACTATGCCATACCCACCTATCTGTCCAAAACCTTTGCATAGCACAGCAATGTGGTGCTCACTCACACTACCAGGAATGCGTGTCCCTTTACAATTTTTGCTGACCAGCTGACTTCTTGCTGTTTTTCTTTGCCCATTTTGCTGCTGCCATGAAGCAAGCAAAAAGATACAAAAGTAAATTCCCGCTTGAGCAAGCGTCCACATAACCACCGAGTTAAATGGCTAATCCAATATACCTTGCTGGAAATTGCAGATTTTCGGATTCAAACCTCCATAAAAAAGTTCAGTGATTTTCCAGCTATCCAAAGCATCAACCCATTGTTGATTATTCATTTATTCAAACCAAGTCCACTAATTAAATATTATAATACCCAGAAAATGCTTGTTTTTCTCTGGAGTTTCCCAATTATGTTCCCCACATATCCCTTTTACTGTTGAAATAGCGCTACCAAATCCAAGTCTTAAAGTTGAACTCAAGTTGAACTCAAGTTCTTCAACCACATGTTGATGCTTAAATTTCTGAAACACCACAAACCCATGTGTTTTCCCACCATGTTCCACCCCAACCCCTCGGTCCCTCGGTCGGTCCCTCGGTCCCTCCGAGGCACCGCAGCAGCCGCATCACTCGGATGCCGCGCAGGGCGCGGGCGAGGCGCACGCTCCGCGCGAAGCGAAGGTGCGAGGGCGACACAGGCTGCGACTGGCCGGCCGAGTTGGCCGCAGCCACCTGGCCGCAGGCTGGTCGAGATGCATAGAGCGAGCTTGCTTCTCAGTTTCGGATTTCAATGGAACTTAAGGATTAAGATCAACCATGAATTTCCAGTTGTAGTTGGATGTATAACTATAGTTAAAGGGGGTGTATCATAACTTATAGTGGCGATTACTATGGTAGTATCTAGTAATAAGCCCTGGCCAGCACCCTCAAATAGCTCTGATGTTGACAGGGACAAAACTTCAATTTCTGTTTTTGAGAGTGTGTCATTTGGGAATTTTGGTGGATGATGATTGGCTAAAAACACATAAGCAATGTACAAAATGTGATTTCTAGGGGTCAAAAAGTGTTTCATGGGGTCTGAATGGGATTTTAATGGGGGGGGCTCATGTAGAAACATAATATTGTTGAAGTTGAAGCCACCAAATGATGGGAAAGAACCATAATATCATATGATATCATATGACATCATTTATTATAATATGATACAGGTGTGGCTGGTTTAACTGGTTTGTGAATCCAAAAGTTTCTGTCCATTGGGGACCACTCCGACGCTCGGAATGCCGGTGTTTTCGCGGCTCTTGTTCGGGTTCCCCTAGGATCCATTTGTTGAAGCCAGGTGAAGCAAACTTCAATGGTTAAATATCCATTACCCTCTGGTAATTTAACGTAGCTATTGAAAATGGCCATAGAAATTGTGGATTTTCCCATGAAAAATGGTGATTTTCCATAGCTATGTTAGTTTACCAGAGGGTATCTGGTAGACATCCACTATCCAGCAAGTTTGAAAATTGAGATGATAGACACATGGAGTCTAGCATGTTGAGACACCTAAAAGGAAGGGTTAAACCACCAAAAACGGCAACGTGGATTTCGCGGCAAAGTGGTTTTTTTTCCATCGAACCAAGAGTCAGAGATAGTCACAGGATGAACATGGATCAAAAATGATCAAAATACACCTTTGAACGGATATGATACAACCAATGGTAATCACTATGGTTAATGACTATGGTTAATCACTATAGTCACTATGGTTAATGACTATGATGTTGTTCTCCTCTGTTTTCAACGTCTTATCTAAACGGAGTTTCCTCCCCTTGAAACGACGGAGTTTCCCGCACCCATAGGTCCAGGGCAGATTCCAGCAAGGACAGAACGATGATCAGAAGGTCAAAGAGATTCCTGCAGCAAGGTGGTGCTATGGTGGCAATTACCCCCCGGTGATATGGTTCTTAGTTTATAAAGGAAAATGGTTGTTTGTTGAGATTTTATCTACCATTGTTTTATTTGCAGGTGAATGGAATTCTAGTGATTGCTAGTTAGTTTAATAAACCCCAGGAAAAAGTGTTGTTAGATATATTGATATATCTACCAAAGTTATCCTAGTAGGGTCCTAGTGAAATTGAACAGTTATTTTTTCCGCACCAACTTAGCAATTCCGAACTGGGGCACCAACCCCAGTATGAGCAGCAACCCATCCCATGGGCATCCATTTTCCCCCGATGCTTTGATGGTTAAGATGGCCGATTTTCCAACATGTCCACCTCTAGGAGCTTGGATCTCCCAAAGAGGTCCTATGATGATGTTTATACCCACTTAGTGAACTATGGAACTGCACCGACTTAAAGTCGCTATGTTAGTTACGGTTAGTTGGAATCCATCTAATTATAGTTCTAATATGTTGTCACCATGAATCCACAATCGTTGTGGGTATAGTTGCAGTTACAATTAGCGCAACTATGCTACGAGTAGTTGGTTTCTGTCCCGACTTTTTTTAGGATTTCATCAACATAAGTCCCCGTGATATTGCCATGATATTCCCAAAATCAAGTCCACTCACTATGCTTAGAAAGTCCACTAAGTAGGTTTATTCCCATATAAAACATCCCTATAAAATCTATATAATTCCCATATGATTCATCCAAACCCACCCAAAAAAAACATGCTGAATCCCAAGTCGCCACCAACGCTCACGACCACAGAAGAAGCTGCGACAACCTGCCGTCGTGTTTGCGCGTTCGCTTCGTTCAAGAACATGGTGAATTCATTGGATTTAAGAATGTTCATGGTGAAATAGTGAAATGGTGTACAGATGCCATTAAAATTGGATAAATGGTGAAATCACATATGGATAAGTGCCTATAAATGCCTATAAATGCTATTTAAAACATGTGATTTAATGCAGGTTGGTGGTTTCAACCCCTCTGAAAAATATGAAAGTCAGTTGGGATCATTATTCCCAAAAAATAAAAGGCATGTTCAAAACCACCAACCAGAATGGCATTTATAGGCATTTATCCATATGTGATTTATTTATGTTCAACAAAATTGTTAAAACATATCCCTTAATGGCATTTATATGGAGATTACCTGGAATGAGGGTACCCCAATAGCTGGATATAGCTGGATAGTTTATTTCATGGAAAAGCCTACTAAAAAATGGATGATTTGGGGGTACCCCTATTTTAGGAAACCTCCATATTTCTCCAATAAATTGTAGGGAAAACCATGGGGGATTTGCTATCATGTGGTTGGAAACCTCAATTCGTAGCTCCTTAGCTCTCCATTAAACAGGAAACATAGATACCCATGGGGCTCCTAATCGCTCCCTCCGAACCACTAGATAGGAAATAGGACTTCATAGGGAAAATATGGCTTTGTCTGAAACTAGGCTACCACCTTAAAAACATCATGGATTACTTGTTGGTGCTTGAGCCACCCCTCTGAAAAATGATGGAGTTCGTCAGTTGGGATGATGACATTCCCAACTGAATGGAAAGTCATAAAAATCATGTTCTGAACCACCAACCATATGTATATATGTATCACCATTTTTGTTGGTTAAATCCCATATATAATGGAAAATAAAAGCCATGTTCCAAGCCGGCAACCAGATTAATATGGGATGATTATTATGGATTATTGTCACTATTCCCATTTGGACAGTGATTTGGAGAGTTACCCCATTGACACTGTCCATGACACAACCAGCTGCTAGGTTTTAAACCATGGCATTTCGGGCTCAAGAATCATCCACTTGAACAGCTACAAAAAAAAACATTTGGAGAGATTTTGTCAATGAAAAATACCGATTTTAAATATTCATTGAGCATTACATTACAATGTCATATTAATAGATGGTTAATACATTACAATTCAACTTGATTTAAATATCTATGTGTTCGTCATCAAGCATGTACCATCGAACATCTAAATTTAAGCTACTCAAGAAGTGAAACCTTTGTCAATCGATACTGACCGTAACAAGTATATCTTTTCTTGGCAAATTATGAAGTTGTGCTAAAGTATCCATCCAGTTTCCCAAAAACATCGGGATTTACTACAAACATAACAGTTTGAAAGTAGTAAATCCCACTACTAAATTACCCTCTGGAAATTTTAACAGTCTGCGAACTGGAAAATCACCATTCCAATAGGTGAATCATCTATAAAGGAGCTAAGGGGCCATATTCCATACATGGTTTGGTTAAATTACCAGGACTATTTCCATAAAATATCTGAACCACCAGTCCCCAAACACATTCACGATCTGTCCTTGCGCGTAGAGATTCAGTAACAGCTCTGCTGTGAAGAGTGCCACCACCACACCTCAGACGTCAGCTGGGAGGAACGTGCTGGATCTTTCAATGGGTTTAATAACCAAGAAAAATTGTGTTTTCTATGCCTTAATGCGATTCAACCAATAGAAACGGTGACTTAATGGGATTTAACAAGATGGTAAATAATTGTGATTTATGGTGATAAAACATGAAATTCCATGATTTCAAGTGGTGGCGCAGTTTGCAGGGCACCACCCTTGCAGTGGGAGAGACATGGTAATGTGATTGGGAAGTTGTTTTGTGTTTTTCGAGATCCCCAACGGGTTTATCAAATGGTTCTTTGAAATATGTGTGATGCCCCTTCAAATTCAAATTGGGGAACTCTGTCAAATAACATTTTTAGAACCCCAGTCGCGAACTTACTAAGTTAATTATACATAAGTTGTATAATTATAAGTTATATATACGTGATGTGATAAATCAATGATAAACCAATCCATTAGGGGTATGTTTTTGTTCACGGTCACCATTTCTGGTGTGCCATGGGGTGAATGGGGTCTTTCATATCTAGCTTACCACATTACTTAAAGGCACTTGGGGCCGTTTTTTGGACCCAAACCCATCTCCTCTATATCTGACTTTTTTTTCTCAGGGTGTTCTTTTGCGGGCTCTAAAATTTCCCTGATTGCGGAGATTTCCCAATCTCAGTGTGGTTTTCCGGTCTGACCCAGACAGAATTCTTCTGAACGGTGGTTCCAGGGTAACCTGAATTCAGCCTGTTTTGACAAGAATTCAGGTTGAAGTGGCTTAATTCAGCCCCTTACCTTCCAAGTTTTATCTTCAACTCATCCCAAGGTTTACCTTCCGATCATTCTGAAGTTGGCTGTCTTTGGTTTCCCATGAGATCCGAGTTTGACAACCTTCGTCTGTTGCATGGGCATCATGGGATGTTTGAATTCCAATCCCAAGTACTCAAGAAAAAATCAATGGACATTCAATTTACATGGGATCATGTTTAAAATAGTTTCAACCAAAAGAATGCACCTATCTCAAGTAAAGACTGCAATATAATATATCACCATCATTAAAAAAACACCAGGCACCCCAGATGCTGGTTGGTGTTTTCAATCCCAGTGAAAAAACATGTGCTTGTCACATCATCATTCCGTTTTTTCAAGGGATTGAAAACAAACAGCAGGTAACATCTTTGAAGCCACCAACTTGTAAGTGTGGATATTCCAGATAAATGTTGAGTTGCACAAAGACACTCCAATTGAAACCAGCAACTCGTTTACTTGCCTTTTCAGCCATGTTCTAAACAATGATTCCATGATCATTGCACGAATTCCACTTACCCTGCAAAAAAAAAAAAAACTGGGATGTTCACCGTGAATAAACCCACGAGTGCCGAGCTGCCGTTGCAAACAGTAAACCAGCTGGGTATATCGTTTTGACCCAAGGTGGCCGAGACGTCCTTAGGGACGTTTGTTTGAAGTTCATGTCAGTTTTAAGCACCAAAAATACGGGAGTGAAAACATGTTTTAACATTTTTACATCCTCAGAAATGTGTCCATAAAATGTCCGCAAGTGGCTGTAGGTGGCATAAGCTTCTGCCGGGGCGGATGTCTGGCCTACCGGCAGCCTGGGACACCTTGCAAATACTCCCCAGACCCATGTGGCCTCTTGTCCGGGTCTGTCCCATTTGGGTCGAGAAAAACCAACCAACCAACCACCCAACCCAACCCAACCCAACCCAACCCAACCCAAACCAAACCCAACCAACCCAACCAACCCAACCAACCCAACCAACCCAACCAACCCAACCAACCCAACCAACCCAACCAACCCAACCAACCCAACCAACCCAACCAACCCAACCAACCCAACCAACCCAACCAACCCAACCAACCCAACCAACCCAACCAACCCAACCAACCCAACCAACCCAACCAACCCAACCAACCCAACCAACCCACCCACCCACCCAACCAACCAACCATGATTCCGCCATTCTGAAACACGGATATATTGATATGAAATACCGATGCGGGAACCCCACTTGAGGAGTTCGATACTATATCGGGGTTTTGGCGTCGGATTGCGCACTAAACAAACCAGTTTGTGAGGTAAGTGCTTCAGACAATGTGATAAGCGGGTGAATGAGCAACCCCAAACCCGGGAGTAGTTTATTCAATATAAGTAAGTGGGCTTGATCCACTTTTAACTAGGGTGAACTAACCTACTGAATTTCCCACACACGGATCAAGATGTCTTCTTCTTCGCGTTCGACGTATGGTACGGCTGCGGTCTGCCACATATTATGAGCGCAAAACCCAATGTGTCCACTCAAATACACCTCAAAGACATAGTGTATGTACAGTATATAAAGGTATTCAAGTATGTATTAAAATATACATATGTATCATTATGTACTCATGTGGCCTGTGCATACCTCAAAACCACACCTCCCTTGCTAGTGCCAGCTCCATTCGGATCTTCAAGAGTCCACTTCGATGCCCAAAATCACCAAGTTGAAGACCTGAGAAAGCTGAGCAGATTAGGATTTACGGTAAGAATCACATTTGGGTTTAACATGGTTTAACCATCAGAAGATGAGTCTCATGACGAACACAAATGAAGGTCTATGGACAACCAGTGTCTGTGCGACATCTCTGTGTTTTTCGAAGATTCCTTGGATGCACAGTTTAGCCATCAATGGGTACCCTCTGGTAAATTAACATAGACCCTGGCAGATAGGGGTTGGAAGATTCGTTTCCATTAAAACTAGGCTATTTTCAAGGTCTATGTTAATCTACCAGAGGGTAACATGGTAAAAACACATGAATCAGATGGAAATTGGAGGTGCCAAATGTGCCTGCTAGCCATGGGCAAACCTGGACCAACGAATGGTCGTTTCGAACTATCGGTGGCCGCAAATTACAGATGATTAACCATGGTGAGTTCACCTCCGGATACGGTGTAACATTGTATGAGTATTGGTATATAAAACATCATATACCATCATCTATATATATACACATATATAACTATATATTATATTTTAAAAACATATAAAAAATATATATTTTATATTATATATATTATATATTTTATATATTTAAATATATTATATATATTATATATATTTAAATATATATATATATTATATTATATATATATATATACATACGTATTATATAACCCTCATAAGCTGGGATATGGGGTAACATTATATAACGACTAACCACAGTGGAACTGCACCCAGGTTGCTTGGAATCCCGCGATTTTGAACGACAAAAAATCACAAGCTGGCGGCCCGCAAGTGATGCGGTTTGTTCACCAATTCTTTCCATGGGAATATGAACTGCATCTGTAATTATAGTGATGTGGTTTATATTTAACCGGGAATATATTGTATTTCTACCAGAAACCTCGTGAAATGCTACTTGAGCAGCCTCAAAAAAGTTGTGAAAAAACTGTTTTTACTTCCTTGTGACGTGAACATCTATATTCCAAAAAACATACTGTTTGCTGATCCCTTTTCAGAGGAATAGCTATCCTTTGGGGCCCCCAAACGCAGCTGACTATGGGTATCTCGCACCCGATTCAACTTGGTTCTCTCTCAAAAACTAGGCTATAACCCTCCAAAAAAGAATGGTTCATCACAATGTTCCATCATTTTCCCCTATTTTCCCAATCTATGACCATCTGTTGGCTTTTAAACCTCACATTTTGACCCAGCGACAATGACAAACGTCACCGCATAGACGAAGAAGGGCGACGTCACCACCCGGCGCGCTAAGGATCTTGCGAAGGACATCTCGACCAGACCTGGGGAAGCAGGGCTGAAGTAGGGATGTCACGAACTTGAAACATGTGATTTTATAGGAGATGATCGGGGATTGCAGGATGGCACATGTGATTTTAGTGGAGATTGATAATGATTGATATGGTGATATAGCGGAATAATGTGGAATATATAACAAAGCGTATCCAACGTGGAGCAATTGACCATGAGTGGGTCTGTGTGGGGATACAGCTAACCAACAACAACGGACAGTTAAACAGCAACAGTTGGACAAAGAGCAACAATGAGATAAACAAGTATTGGATTTCCTTTAGCAATCGTTTACTGTTTCCCATGGAAGCCATGGCAATGGAAAAAACAGGCAAACCACAGTAAAGCATCTATTTTCATGGGTGAGTTTCCATGGCCATGCTAAACTACCACAGGGTATAGGGGGTTGCGTATAGGCGGGTTGTGGGACAGTAACCAACCATTGGAGGTCATTTTACATCATCCCATTACTAGGGGTATACCCGATAGTAAACCCAAATTGGGGATAGCTTGTCATTGGATTTGCCACATACATGAAGGTGGTTATTGGATATACATATATACATACAACTTCAACAAATATGGGACTATCGTTGGAGATATGGAATGTGGTCTATACTTGGGATACATGTGTAATGATACATAATGATAATGACACGCTCATGAACCAACATCAAAAAAATCAAAGCGGCCACCGTTGGAAGTTGCCAGCCACTGGCCACACGATTCTGTTCCGCAAAGGAGAAGCGTCCCATCCAAGCCCCACAAGCGGTTCTGAATACGCTGATTCAAACTCTTGCTAAAATTGACGCTGGAACCCAACACTTGGGCCCTGTGATGCCTCATAAAAGGCTCGGTCAATTCAACAGGGCAACCGTGACGAATAATCAGAAGTTCAGCTGTAATTTCCGTGCGATCCCTTCGATAACTGGCACAAAACGAAAACCAAAAATATAGATAAATAGAGCCATGATTGTCAATGCTACAGGGTGAATATCCAAAGTTACAACCCGTTTATTTCGAGATCTGTTAATTTCACCCAGTTCCTCTCAGTTTAACATGGCCGATCTGATACCCTGGATGTCTTTTCTTGGTGCTTAAAAAACTAATGGATCACCACGGATCACCTAGTTCAGAGAATCACCTGTTTTTTTGTAGGTGGGGCTAGGGGACTAGGGCCAGGCCCCATCGGTTCTCTGCCAAGGTCAAATCTGAGCAATGCGTCATTCCATACCGCTTGGTTAAGAAATGGATTCCAATAATAAGGTGAGCTTGTGAGTTTGGTTAATTGTTGGGTTTATGGAGGATTTGATACAAGTATAGTATGGGGTGAACAGGGTGAACATACACCAACTGTTGCCATCACTGGGGAGGCCCACCTTGCAAGGTGATTACTCAATGACATTGGGAGGTTTTGGCCGCTCTAACGGAAAAATCATAATAAAATCTGGGAACAAAGTGATATTCTCTATAAGGGGGTTTCCAGCTGGGAAAATAATCGAACTAATGGTGGATTTTCCAGCAAACCATGGAGCTGATTACCGGAGGGTGAGCTGGCATAACCATGGACTAATCATCATGCACAGTGACGTCTTGGTGAGGTCAACATCAAAGTTCACCCAGATCCTATGGTTTATCAGTTGAACATCATTCATTTTGCCAATAAAATAATGAAAACACATCAGAAAACCAGACACCTAGGGTTTCTCCAATCAATCAATCTTAAGAAACTCAGCCGTGCATTGGGATAGGTACCTCAATCCACATCCCCTAATTCTAGCGACGATCCATGGTCATTCACCATCCATGCCAATCAGTTTGACCCGCCCAAGTCTTAGACGTTGACCCAAATAATATTCCCATATTTTTAAAAAATAGTGGTTGCTAAACCCGAAAGTAAATAAAATAGGTGTATACATATACTAGTAATGGTTGCATAAATATGACTGGTTGGGCACATATAGTATAAACATTTACAAGCAATATCTACATATTATAAATATAGTATGATATATCATGGCATACGTGTATATATATATAATATATATATATTATGATACGCATATATATTGCTATAAATAATGCAAATTAATACTATGGTATAGTACAAGTCTTTATGCATGTGTACAACACAAAATCTGCATATTTAAATATTATATATATATACATGGTTGGTTGTTCATATACCCAATGTACTTCGTCCAAGAGGCCGGTATGGGACTGTTCAGAATAGAAGCGAGCTTGCGTCAAGCGACTTGCGGCAGTCTCGGCCTCAATCGGACCATAAACCACCACCTAGGTTTAATGGGAAACATATGCAGTAACGGGGATGAGTGCCCATGGTGTATATATATATACAAAAAAATGGGAATATAATGGGAAAATACATAATCATCATGGAGAATACATTTAACGTGGTATATGTTTAAATATACGTGTATAAATATATGTGTATAAATATACGTGTATAAATATATGTGTATAAATATACGTGTGTATATATATATATATTTATATATATGTGTGTGTGTAAACATATTTAAGCACCTTGATACGGTATGGAAATGTACAAGGTGTATCTGAAAATGAAATCACCTCCTAAAAGGAAATTATTATTCAACGGGGAAAATTTGTGGCCATTCACCCTCCTAAATCAGGATATGGGCAGCATGGGTCGTAATTTGGTATCTCAAAAGGTTGGGTGTTGAATAATGTCAACCCCAGGTTAATAAACCACTTTTGGGGGGGATTGCCATTTTAGTAGCCAAGTATATCGCTACATATTATTGATATATATATAATATATATAATATATATATATAATATTATATATATATATATTAAATCCCCCCCTGAAACTCGTCTCGTTGTCACCACACCGCACAAATCACTGCGCCTTCGCCTCGGAGCGGTGGAAGAGGTCGCTGACGAATGTGTCCTCAGCGACGTTTCCCGAAGGTGTCGAATAGACCAACATTTTCTCAGTCACTTCCAACATGCTCTTGGTGCTACGCTCCGAACTTTCTCCTGGAATTTTCAACACGGTCTTGATGCTACTCTCTTATTTTTTCAGTAACTTCCAACACGGTCTTGATGTTCTGCTCTTCACTTCTTGGCACTTCCAACATGCTCTTGATGCTACGCTTCGAACTTTTCTCACTAACTTCCAATACGGTCTTGATGCTACGATATTTACTTTCTCAGTAACTACCAACATGCTCTTGATGCTACGTTCTTATCATTTTCGCAATAACTTCCAACATGCTCTTGGTGCTATGCTCTTGACTTTCTCCTGGGACTTCCAACACGGTCTTGATGCTACGCTCTGAACATTTTCTCAGTAACTTTCAACATGGTATTGATGCTAGGCTTCAAACGGGCTAGCTAGTCCATCCCAGTGCTTTCAAAAACCGCCGTTGACCTTGTGAAAACGCTTGAGAACAACAAATGGCTGACTATCAGCACGGGGGTCGTTCTAGACACCCCAATTTTCGTTGGTATTTGCAAGGGATTGTACTAGGGGTCTACATTTTCGATAGCGCCCACAATACTTTTGACACATTCTTTATCCAGTCGCACCATTGAAGATTCAAAATTCGACAACCCTTCAGTGTTTTTGGCCTCTTCGATACCAATGAAACACATATGATCTTATTTGTTTGCTTTTGTCAAACGGACATGTTCAAAAAATGTCTGCGCGGCAGCATTGTTACTGAGACTTCCTTTCTTCAAGACACACAAAAAACACTGAAGAAACCCATACAGAACACACATTTCGACCTGAAGGAGTTCATGATAGGCGTATGGGTCCCGGGGAACCTAAGGGCTGGACCGACATGTGATATCATCAGAATTGAGATTTGAGGGAAAAACGTCTTTGTTTTTTCAGGTCTCCAAGGAACAACATCAACATGATGGATTTTTTCGTCTGCTTCAAAAGAAACTGTGACCTTTGATGATTTAAGGGGAAAACTGCCAAAAATCAGGTTGTCCAAGCCATTTTTTGAGAACATGGCATAATCACCGGTTTCAGTGGTTGGTATATACACCTCTTTCTGATGATTAAACGCCAAGGCCCCAATTATACACCTGTGTCTTCGGATGTTCCTCGCTTATCAATCTGCAGAAGCATGCAGATAAGGGTGACACAAGCCTCATTGACCTGCACAACCAGCTCTATAGACCCTAGACTCCATCCAAATTATCCTGTCCAGACGCGGATACCCTTCGAAGGAACCTGTTGTGTCTTGCTCATTACTGCATGTATATGTATATATATATACTTATATACATACATACATCCATACATCCATACATTTGCATATGCATCAATGCATAACTATACATATTTCCCATTTCTGGCAAACGATTAAGTATTGAAATAGTCCTTCTTCAGCAAACTTTACCCACATCATCACTAAATCAATCCGAATAAAAAACGCGTGATTCCGGAGATCTTGGTGAACCCTTGAGGGATTTGGCATAGCCGAGCTACTATGCTGTCGAGGGATTGCAACGAGCCCTTCTTTAAAAGGGTTGCCCGTTTTTGCGTCGCCTGGTGAGTGGCACCGTTGTGCATCTGCGACTCAGACATTAACAGAAATCCATGTATGAAGGAAAAGACAAGATGCGTATACTGGTACAATGTATATATATATACGTTCAATAATATGTATATATACATGTTGTATATATGTATACATGTTGTATATATGTATAACCCATTCCTCCTAATACTAAACCCCCCAAATAATAAACACCTCAGGTTAGTGATTATTACTATGGGGTATTTAGCATTAGGGTGCGAAGTCTCCCCCTAATATTGAATTTAAAACCCTAATATAAAAAAACTAAAATTTTCTATTTCAAAATCAATTAGAATTCCTTTTAAAATATAGTTAAAATATTGCCAAAACTTGGATTTCGAAGCTTTCCCCTAATACTAAATAAAAAAACCCTAATATAAATAATATAAACAACTA